TGTCATCATGAACATATGCTGGAGAAATTTGATAACATCATTATTGTTAAGATGTCGATGATAAATCTTAAAAATACTATTCAGACGAACATGAGAATGAAATATAAGTACACATCAAGATGTGAAACAAGAATCGATAGGAATCAAGGAGAAAATTAGATGAAAAATCACAAAATTAATGTGTAAAATAACCACAACTGAGATAAATTTTTAAAAATACATTATAGGCTCGTGCTAGAAAGTTTTAAAAAACACAATTTCTGTCGAGGTCTTTGCAAAAAAACCATCAAAATGCAAATGAGATAAATACGGAAATGAAATTATAATAGATGCACTTCTTGGACTACTATGAAGAATTGTGAGGCAAGACCTCTATTGGGACTTAGTCAAATCCTGGGACATTCAAATTGGGGCCTACACTGAATGTGAACTAGCAGATTAGACTTATCAAACCTGTGAGCAAAGAGGAGGTGAAAGCAGCAGTATGGGATATAAATGTGAACAAAAGCCCCGGAATGGATGGTTATGGCGCAGGTTTCTTCAAGGCAGCATGGGGTATAATTGAGCAGGATGTCATTGATGTTGTGCTGGAATTTTTCTCATCGGGGCAGGTATTTAAACAACGAAACTCTACACTTTTAACACTGATCCCTAAGATTGATGTATCTTTGAATGCTAATCATTTTCGACTATTGTATGTCGCAATGTTATTTATAAATGTATTTCTAAGATTTTATGTAATAGGCTGAAAGAGATACTTCCTGTGTTAATTGATGTAAATTAGAATGCCTTTGTAAAGGATAGGCTTATATTGCATAACATATTGATTACTACAAAAATTATTAGATTGTATAGGAGAAAGGGGATTGGTGGTCGATTAATGATGAAAATAGATCTAAAAAAGGCATATGATACTGTTGAATGGGGTTTTGTAGAAGAAATGTTGGTAGGGTTTGGATTTCCGAAGCAATTTCGTACTTTCATAATGGTATGTTTACTTCTCCAAGTTTTTCTATGTCTTTGAATGGCAACATCAAAGGGTTCAATCAAGGAAAGCGTGGTTTACATCAGGGGACCCTGTTTCTCCACTCCTCTTTGTTTTGATCATGGAGTATTTAACTAGGAGCCTTAAAAGCATAGCTGAGAGCAACTTTCAATTTCATCCATTGTGTAAGGATTTGAAGTTGACTAACATCTACTTTGCAGTTGACCTAATGGTATTCTGTAAAGCAGATGTCAGTTCAGTCAGGAGAATAATGTTGGCATTTAATGAATTCTCTAAAACCTCGGGACTAGTAGCAAACTTGCAAAAGTCATATATTTACATTGGGGGGCGGGGGGGTGGGGGGGTGATTCCAAAGTTGTAGGAAGAGATATGTAATGTAACTCAGTTTTCAGTAGGATCGTTTCCTATGAAATATCTAGGAACTTCCTTATCTCCCAAGAAGTGGTCCCAAGTTGAGTGTTAGGAGATCGTTAACAAAATTGTAGCAAGAGTCAAATGTTGGAGTACTAGACATTTGACCTATGCTAGACGACTGCTGCTGGTGAACTGAGTTCTGATGTCGATGCACTCATACTGGGGCTCGATTTTCATATGGCCTAAGAGGTTAACTACGATAGTCAAGAGGATTTGTCGAGAGTTCTTGTGGGTAATTAGAAGCAGTGGAAGAGCACTGTCGTTAGTAAACTAGGAGGAGGTATGTCATAGCGAAATGGAGGGAGGCTTGGGTATTAAGGATGCTAGGCTATGGAATAAAGCAGCCATTGTGAAGCAAATATGGCATTTTGGCTTTGAAAAAAGACTCATTGTGGGTGCGTTGAATTCATGGAGTGTATATGAAAAAACATTCCATATGGGATTTTCAGGAAAAGAAGAACTCCAGCTGACAATGGAAACAACTGCTAAAGATTTGTGATCAGGTTAGAGATGGATTTGATGGGAATAAATGAAGGATCATAGTCATGGGAAGTATATTGTTAAATCTGGCTATTGCTGGTTGTTAGGTTCAGGGCAGAGATGGGAAGCTGCAAAATGCATCGGATGAAATGACCATTCCATAGCATGTGTTTATTTCATGGTTAGTCTAGACGAAGAGGTTGTTGACGCGGGACAGATTGCAGATGATGCCTATGATAATCCCTAATGCTAGCTGCATTTTCTATAACCAAGTTCCTGAGTCAGTTGATCATCTATACTTTCACTGCTTGTTTGCAAGGGAGGGTGCTGAGTTTGATCAGAAACTGGTTTGGATGTAGGAGCATCTCAATTGATGATTTTTTTGGGAAGTGTCAGGTTCAGAAGCATTGGAAATGGCAGAAGTTGAAAAGAAAGATATTCCTTGCTGCCTTTAATGCTTGTCTGTATCATATATGGGAGGAGCATAACAAGAGGTGCTTTGAAGGGAAGGAAAGGAGTCCTGCTGTCCTGCTTAGAGAAATCCAACAGTAACTCAAGATAAGAGTTGTGTGTCGAAAACAGGTAGCTTTGTCTGCTGTTGAAGGACAAATCTTGCAGAAATGGTTCTAAAGTGCATTGTAAAGTACAGCTTCTATTTACATAGTTTTTGGCAGGTTATGTAATAGGTTTGGAATATGGTTGTAGAAGAAGCAATTTTGTAGCTAGTAGTGAATTTCCTTGAGTTCAGATGTACAGAACTGTCACTTTAGTGATCTTTGTAAATAACATTCACCTTTTTCACAAAAAAAAAAAGAAATTATAGTAGACGCTAATTAGATAAGGAAAAAAATCGTGATAAATCAACTTATATTTTTAAAAATTTGTCAAATATGACTAAATAACCTTATATGAAATCATATTCATTGTATAATATTTGCATTACAAATTTTTTGTACCTCATATCTTATTTTTCATGTATTTTTGTTTACTACATATCTACTTTATTTCCTTAATATGATTCTTAAAGAAACAAAAATTGGAGTTGAACTTCACAAATACTTTATAGGCGAGTGCTTGTGAACCATTAAAAATATGTTTTATATCAAGATATTGGGAAAAAAAAAATAAAAATGCATATTAGATAAACATGATAATCAAATAAGAGCATGCTATGATAATGAAATAAGAACATGCAAGTAGGTAACAGGGGGTTTTTGGGAAAGATCTAAAGTTTTTGTTCTTAAATTTGTCAAAACATATGACTAACACAATCGTAATTGAAATTATTTTCATTCCTTAATACATACACTGCGAATGGCTTACAATTTATTTACTCTTTTCGAAAATCTTTTTTTTTTTTTGTTCGTTGCCTTTGATTCTTTTATGTATGATTTTCCAAAACCTAAACTTGGATTTGAATCTTAAAAACATCATTATGAGGTCGTGTTGGAGATTTGAAGTTATAATTTGTGTTAATATATTGATAAACCCCCAAATACAAATCAAATAAATATGAAAAAGAAAGAAGAACAGACATAAAGTGCTAACCCAAAAAATTCTGTTCGTAGTAATAACCCATATGAATAATAAAAAAATTTATAATGTTCATGACGTAACAATTTGAATTAATTTTCTTACTATAATTCAATGGTTATACTTTTCTGTCTCCATAATTCGTGTATATTTGAGTTGTGACGATTACTCGTAGATTACTTTCATATTCGCACTGCTCACCTATATAATTGTGTATATATCATAAAAATAATAAGTTTATATTTATGTCAAATCTAACTTGTGAATCTAACAAATAAATCTTCTTTTTTGTTCCAATAAAAAAGACTCAGAAAGAAAGTAGAACATAGTCCAAATCCCTTGCTGCTTGCGTTGTTATGGAGATAAACAAACAGATAACACACCTAGGTCAATGCACAGACAACCAACTGGCGCCGCTACTAACATAATGTAAGCCATAATTCTGTTAACTAGGAAACTGAAATTGTATTATCCAACAGCTTGAAACTAAACAAAATCCTTAGAAACAGCTTTACATAGATTAAAAAGTTTCTACTACATTTGAAAGAACTCTACTCTAGAAAGAGTAAAGAAACACATAACCAACAAAAATAACAAGTACAAGAACTAGAATACAAAGTCCACAGACGTCAACTGTAAAGGAATGGAATCCTAAAAGGGTTCCACACACTATGAGCAACCAGAATTTGAACCTGCTAGACCACTTCTTCCATTTGGGAGAGCCCACCTCAGAAAGGAAACTTGCTATAATAAGTGGGCTGGCATCGGGAACTACAAAACCTAAGCAAACAGTAAAAATAGTGTCGTTTTTCAAAACTTTTTTCTCTCGACCCATAACCGTATCCGCTGAGATTCCCGTCATTACCATACCGGATACAATCAGGAAGCTCCAAAGAGACTCCTGGTTGTCCCATCCAGGAAGAACAACAGGGATCGGGCCAGCATGGTGCTACACAGGGGCTTCGAGCCTATGAAAGTCAAAGCCAGGGTAACGAGTCTGGTCTTCATAGCGAACAAGAGGGGAAGTCGCACCAGATCCATAAACCACCTCCTCACGTGCTAACGTCCGGGACTCACTTCTCGGCATCTCGATATGCCTATCCATCCCGTGACCAGAAGACAAGTTTCTTTTCTTTTGGCGCTCACTAGATTGCTCGGACGGAATTGCCATGCCAGCCGTAGGGTTTTGGTGTAACACCACAAACAACTGAATTATTTATGTACATTAGCAATAAAAGTTCAAATGTGCAAAAAAGAAATGAATTCGTGTTGAATAACTGGCATTTATAATGAAATATGAACATCATTGGTTTATTAGTTAGCGCATTTCTTTTTGTAAATGTTTCTTTTTTAATATAATTTTTCTTGTATGTTTTTCAAGAAACATAATAAAGATTGTAGTGATGATTAATTTTATTTTGTATTTTTTTATGGCCATTGTTCCCTTGTTGATATTAGGAATATTGGTAAGCTTGTATATTGTAGTTCAGAATTTTTGTTGAGGGTATAAGTTAGGGTTGATTACATTTTGTGTTTTTGTTTTAAGAAAAACAAAACCACGAGAACATCAGGGACTCGACACGTTGCGATGGCCGCCAGCTCTTAGCGTCATCAGGGACTCGAACACGGCCCTGGCCTCGATTGCCATGTCTAGCTCCTCTCTGGATGTGACCTCACCATCCTCATCATCAAAACCACGAGAAACGCCGCCGCTTCTGATTGTATCAGGATTTTGAGCTCGTCGAATCAGGGAAATTGATTTTGATTTGCTTGAAAATCGTTCTGGTGAGGGTGATAGAGATTTGGCCAGTATTTTTCTGAGAAAACGAGTTTTCGGAACAACCGAACTCTTCGCAGTCAAGGATCGTGATTACGTGGGGCCTCTGCCCCTTGTCGAAGGGGCGTAGTCTTAGCGGGGGAAAATGTTGACGGCGGCGAATAGTCGTCGTCTTGGGGTGCCATAATGTCACTGTTATCTGCTATCTGCTGATATCTGCATTTTATATATAGTAGATAATCGTTTTGTCACTAGGGCTTTGCCTAAGAACACATCAACGCCGTTGATTCCTTATCGGATGGTGGAAATATCGTACTTGGTCCCAAGCATTTTTTGGACTATTTTGCCCTCTTGTTTTACTCGATTACACGGAGAGTATGCTAATCCATCGAAACGGTAGGGATGCTAATGCGTCATCCCCAAGCATGTTTTGAACCTGTTTAATTATATGGGCAAAACTCGAATTGACCCGGAAAAAAAAAAACAGAAACAATTGATAGAGCATGACACGACATGAACACGATGTGTTCATTCAATGTCTAATGTAAAATTAAACACAAATATATGACCTTATATACACCTAAACCACATTAGTACATATCAAACCAAACATTTTTATAGTAATTGTATTTTTTTTTGAATTCTTTCCATCCGAACGTTTCCCATTAAATGAAATCGCATATGAATATTTTGACCCTTGGAAAAATAAAAAACACAAGCAAGTGTTTTCCGGTTATTTAACATAAAAAAAAAATCACCAATTGACTTCTCTACAATATTTGACCTATATCGTTAAAATTATGTTCCCGATTCAAATATTGTAGTCGAGTTTGTTTCCTGATTAAGATTTTGTAGTCATAATTATTCATCAAAATCACAAGGATAAGAAAAAAGTATTTTTAAAAAAGAAAATATTAATAATAAACTAAAAGAAAATGTATAAAGACAACATCAAAGCCAAACATGAAAGCTTAACTAAGTAATAAAATAATAATTGACAACATAATAAACTATCAGAAAAGTAATTGACACGCGCTTTTACATGAGCGCGAAAGGGGCGATTCACGTTTTTGTATGTGAGATACTGTATCCTTTTTTCCAACGATCAGATCTTGTTCGCCGGTCATGGTTGGCAAAAGAAGGAAGGGGAAATCACCGAGTATACTAGTTAACATTGCTACAGGCCCTGATGGAGCGAAGGAGAAGACGAATTGCGTTGTTACAGGGGGAGAAGGGACGGGGAAAAATTTGGGGAAATCAATTAGGGTTCAACAAAGACTGAATTAGAGCAATTGGTTGCTGAGATTGAAGCGTCCTCAAATCAAAAGGTGTCGTTGAGTGGTAATAAGGAGAAATTAAGCACGCCGGAAGCCGATTTGGGAGTGTCGTCTATGGGTGTCTTAGCGAAATAATTCGCGATGGTATGGAGGCTAAGGAAAAGGAGAAGCAGGTGAAGCGACAGCTTGACTGGACTGAAAAGTAGGAGTTAGGTGGGGGTCAGAAGTATGGGATGGTTCAGGAGCTGAGAAATTGAAGAAACCGCTTGGGGAATTAAACTTTAACCCTCCTAACCAGCGTGATGGAATGATGGTGGCGAAGATGCATTTGGTGGATGTGCAAGCTGAGGAAAAATATTGGGAAAATGCAGTGGTTTGTTTCATTCTGGGTGCAAATCCGCCAAAATGGGTTATGGAAGACTACTTCAAACGCACCTGGGGATGTCTGGGAATATAGCAAGTAATTCAACTGCCTTTAGGTCTTTATGTTGTGTTATTTAAAACCGCTGGTGGTAGAGATGAAATAGCTAAGTGTTAACATTAGTCATTTGGGCAATAAACCACTAATAGTGAAACCTTGGAGTGTTGAAAAGGGCTTGAACTATTGAGATGTTGATAACGTGCCTGCGTGGATTCAGTTACCAGGCTTAGAACTGAATTATTGGAATTTGACTTCCCTGGGTGATTTGGCTAGTACTATAGGCAGATAAATTCTTGCAGATGAATATACGATGAGAAAAAACTAGGGTTCAGTATGCTAAGCTGCTTGTAGAGGTGAAGATAACAGAAAGTGTTCCTAATAGAATTGTCTTTGAGGATGAATATGGGAATATTTAAATTTAGAAGGTTGTGTTTGAATGGATGCCTACGTAATGTAAGAAGTATCAGAATTATGGGCATGTAACGGATAAATGTTGAATGAAGAGTAAGGAAGAGATCCCTAAAATGCAGACTCCTAGTACTGAATGGAGAAATATTGTAAAGGGGAAAGAGGTAGTAGAGGAGTCAGTAGAGCCAAAGACTATGTATGAAAATCAGGATGGATTAAATCTGAGAGGACATTCTGATATGGGGTGAATAATAAGAAGGGAAGTGGCATAAGTAGGGCTCAGAGTGATGGTGTGGTACAAACACATAGAGTTAATAGTGCTATCACAGTTACTCACAGTTACTCAGGGTGTGGTTGTTAGGAGTTCTCCAGTAGTGTCTCCTAAAAAATCACAATGAAAACAGATGGCACTACTAACTCTAGCATTGGAATTAGGAAGGATGAGATTCTGATTGATCCCGGTGCTAATTCTAATGTGTAATATCTTTGTTTGGAATGGAAGGGCTTTGAACTCTCCCCTAAATCAAAGAGAGTTACAGCGAGTGATTAGACCTGGGAATTATAACATTATAGGGCTGGTGGAAACAAAAATGAGTCAAACAGAAAGAGAAGAATATGTTAGAAAGTACTGGCAAGGTAGTAGCTAGATTAATAACAATAGCTCATGTGACAAAGGAAGAATTTTTGTCTTCTCGGATGACAGTATGGTGGTGTCTAAGATCAGTGAGCATGAGCAATACATTCATTGCCACTGTATGAGGAAAAGGGATGGGAAATAGTTTTATTTTACTTGTGTATATGCCTCAAATGATGCTGGGGAGAGAAGTAAATTCTGGGATAAAATGGTAAGACTGTCGCAACAGGTGCAAGGACCATGGGTTTGGATGGGTGACTTTAACAATATTTTGCATCCTAGGGAAAAGCTAGGGGGCAGGACAGTAGAGTTGAAGGACTTTGAGGAGTTTCAGATATGTAAAAATACCTGTGGGGTTAGTGACCTTAGATATACGGGAAATCTGTACACCTGGTGCAATCAGAGAATTGGTTCAGAGAGAGTGTACTCTAAACTGGATAGTGTCTTGGTGAATGGGGACTGGGTTGACTTGTTTGCTGACTCTGTAGCTTCTGTTCTAGTGGGGAATACTTCTGATCATTTTTCACTTGTGCTTCAATTAGAGGGTGAGAAACAGCAAAAGAAGAAAGGTGCATTTTTGTTCTTCAATATGTGGAGCCAGTCTTCACAGTTTCTGGATATTGTTAAGAAGGTTTAGAAAAGAAGGGTTGATGGTGTTAAAATGTATCAAGTATGTTCCAAGTTGTGAATGTTGAAAGACTTGTTGTGTAAACTGAATAAGGAACAGTTCTATGATATAGTAGAAGTGGCACAGAGAAAGCAATTGGAGTTAGAAGCTCTTCAAAAGGCTTTGCAGAGAGATCCTTGTAATGTAAATCTTCAATATGAAGAAAGGAAGTTGTATATTGAATACCTGGAAAAAGGAAAGCATCGGATAGTTTTTTGCAGCAAAAAACTAAGGAGAAGTGGATGGAAGAAGGAGATGCCAATACCAGATATTTTCAATCACTTTTGAAGATTAAAAATATGAGGAATAGAATCTGGAAAGTAATTGATGATGCAGGGGTGGAGTTAAGAGAGTGAAATGATATTGAGCAGCATTTTGTGGATTTCTACAAAACATTGCTTGGGCAGCCAGCACCACGAAAGGCAGCTAGGTCTGATATATTGAAAGCTGGTCCTGTTCTGAAAAGTGATCAACAACTTCAACTCATAAGGCCTATCAGAAGATCAGAAGTCAAACGAGCAATTTGGGAGATGGACTCGAACAAGAGTCCTGGTCCCGATGGTTTTGGTGCAGGTTTTTACAAAGCTGCCTGGGAGATAATTGGAGTAGTTGTGACGGATGCAGTGCTGGAATTTTTCGCCACTGGCCAGGTATTGAAACAAATGAACGCAACTACCTTAGCATTAATTCCGAAAATAGAATCCCCTCAAAATGCCAATCATTTTAGACCTATTGCGTGTTGTAACGTACTCTATAAATGTATTTCAAAAAATTCTGTGTAATAGGCTAAAAGATGTTTTGTCTTGTATAGTGGATGAAAATCAGAATGAGTTTGTTCAGAATAGGTCAATCATGCATAATGTGCTTATAACGCAAGAACTTATTAAATTGTGTGGTAGGAAAGGCATTGGTGTTAGACTTTTGATGAAAATAGACTTGCGAAAGGCTTATGATTTGGTAGAGTGGGGTTTTATTGAGGAAATTTTGCTAGGGTACGGTTTCCCGCAGCTTTTCGGAACGTGGATCATGTCGTGTATTTCTACTCCTACTTTTTCTCTAGTCTTAAATGGTAGTTCTGTGGGATTCTTTGAGGGTAGAAGGGACTTACGGCAAGGAGATCATGTTTCTCCTTTGTTGTTTGTCTTAGTTATGGAGTATTTAACTAGAGGTTTGAAGAATGCTGCTCAAGGGGGGTTTCAATTCCATCCATTATGTAGAAAATTGCAGCTTACGAATATTTGCTTTGTGGACGATCTAATGATATTATGTAAAGCTGATTTTCCAACTGTAAAGATTATTATGGATTTGTTTCATGATTTTTCTGAGGTGACAGGATTGACTGCAAATGTTCATAATTTTGAAATGTTCTTTGGGGGTGTTGGGAGTAGTGATCAAGAGGCATATTGTAAACTCATTGGTTTTAGAAGTGGTGTTTTTCCTATGAAGTATTTGGGAGTTTCTTTGGCTCCTAAAAAATGGAACTAGGTTGATTGTCAGTGTATTGTGGATAAAATAGTTGCTAGGGTTCGTTGTTAGATTTTTCGGCATCTTTCGTATGCAGAGAGACTAACCCTAGTTAGTTCTGTTCTGATGACAATGCATTCTTATTGGGGAAGTATCTTCTTACTTTCTCAAAAAGTAACTGAGAAGGTGAATAGGGTTTGCCGGGACTTCCTCTAGGGTGGGACTTGTGATAACAGGTCTCTCGCTCTGGAGAATTGGACTGACGTGCATAACGGGAAGTCCATGGGAGGTTTGGGTGTCAAGGATGCTAGACT